TACAGGCGTGATTGTGATAAAGTTATTGTGATTAATTCGACGGACTGAATTATATCATCTAAGTTTTATTTCCAGCCCTCCGACTAACAACATCAAAGCCTAAAAAAATATGTATAACACTGACAAAAGTTATGAATAAAACAATGAAATTTGTTATTAGTAAAGATATTTTTCCGCATCGACAGCGATTGTAACGTCTCTGTATAAAGTTTTTTATTTCATATTTATACATATAAGAAATTTAAATAATATTCATCTAGTAAAGTCAGACCGAACAATGGGTTCTCTGAAAAAATACAAGATAAATAAAAAAAGAAGCTCAATAATTCATAACTTTCATTCTTTGACACAATATTAAGCTGATCATACATTAAATATATTCATTATAATTCCTACAGAATAATATTACATGTAATTGTCTTCGACTATAATAAGATAAAAAGACTACTTTAAATTTTTGGAGTGATCCGATTTGGTAATAATAAAATCGCACTAAATATAGTTTTTCATATTTCCATAATGTTCGAGTTTTATTCTGATAATCAATTCATTATAAAATTACTATATATGAAAATCCAGTTTTACGCGATGCCAAGAAATTCAAAAAAAATATAAATAAATAAACGGTACATGATGCAAATAAAGAAATTTAAATAATAACTATTTGAAAAATTTAAACAATCATAATTTGAGTTCATTTACTCAATTTCTTCATTTTGTACAAATACAAAACCAGTGTCATTTCGCTTTCATTATTTTTGTTACTATATTTTCAATCATTACAAAAATGTTTTTTAAAGCTCCTTTTATTTTTGAATTCTAATATAAAAAAATAAAAAATGAAGCGAATAATAATTGTAGTCTATATTTTCTTAATGTTGATATCATTGGTCAAATCAACTCCATTGGACTTGCGAAAACGTCAAGATACTTCCACCGACTTAAAAAAGTAATGGGGAATACATAATAAGCCTTACTTTAATGGATTATTCTCCAAATCCAACTGTCATAGGTCAAAATATCACTGTTCACATGGTTGGTGAAATGGCCGAAGTCATTGAAAAAGGTGCAATGATGAGGATTTATCATGATTATAAAGGAAAATTCAAGCATGAACTTGATTATTGTAAATTATTTGTCGAACCAAGCGGGTTCGTTTGCCCAGTTGAAAAGGGACATTTCGACTTTACTGCAACTTGGCTTATAGGGAAACATCTTTCTGAACTAAATCAGTTCACAGTCGGTCAGAGACCTTTGACTTACTGACCAGTTGACCGATTGGTTTTGCTGACTGGTTGACCGGCCCATTTAACAATAGTATAATTTAAAGTTCTTGATTGATAATTTTTAATTTATGCTTTAAATAATACTAACATTGCATTTGCTAAAACTTCCTATTTTATATACTTTACTTATTTCTTTTAGACTAACTTGATATGCATATTAAGTTTATTTACATATTTAGTGATGCAACTTATCACGATCTTTTTTTTAAAAATTAAATCAAAAATCTTATTTATAAAAAATAACATCACTAAAATTATTGTTAACTAAAGAAAAGAATTCTTGGATTACTAATTAAAAAATATTTGGTCATCCAGTCGGTCAAAATCAGTCAATATCGGTCACGGTCATGACCGTAACCATTAGCATCTAGTATGTAAATGACAAAAATTTTTTATGATATTTAACTGTTCAATAAATTAATACATTTCTTATTATTTGTTATTAGTTTCGAATTCAGTCTGTTGTGCATCGAGGGAATACAAAATGTTTTCCATCCTTAAATAAAATAATCTTTCGTTGCTATAATCCTGAAAATTGCATCTTGTATGATCAGTTTGATATATAGTACATTATTATTATACTTTAACTATTTTAATTAAAGCAGACTTTTCATGTAACTGTTAAATAAAGTTTCAAGTATAACATTCTATTACGAGATACAAATTCTTATTTTATTATTAAGATAATCAATGAATGAAATGAATGAATAAAATGTAATTATAAATTATTTGCGAATTAACTTTTGAATCTATGACTAACTAGTATCTTTACATGGTAAAGACTCGATAAAAATCATAGTAATATTTTCTAATTTTCCTTCCATAAATTAGATATTCAAATTCTCTCATTTTTTAAAAAAATATCTTAAATCTATATTCTCAAATAGCAACTTTGAATAAGATCACATGATCTCCAAGTAATATGTAGGGTTGGAAAAGTCCTAAAAAGTCCTAATTGGTCTTTATGAATTTAAATTTTTATTTATAAACTATTAATTAAATCTTTTAAAAATAAATTTAGCTTTTAAATTATTATATTAAATATTAATTTAAAATAAAAAAATTCTTTAAAAAATACTTAATTAGGTTAATTAGGACGACCTAGGTCCTAAATATAATATTTTAAAGATTTTTTAAATTTTAAAAAAGAATTCTATTTTATTTTAATAACGATAAGAACATTAATTAAAAAATTATTTGTAATGATAATATTTTAAAACTAATCAGGACCAATTAGGACTTTTTAGGACTTTTCCAACCCTAATAATATGACATCATTTTATTATCTTATTTTTTGTAATTTATCTTTTGTTGTCACACTAACTTTTTACGTAAATCTAAAAAAAATAATGATAGACGACACACTAGGGTTTTTTTGTAGTCACTCATTCCAATTACTAAGCTTGTAGAATATATTTTCCTTAATAAAATTAATAAAATTTTATTTTATTTTTTTTTTATTATAATTTATCATCTATTTTTTTTTATTAAAAAACCTTTTTAACAAATTTTTTTTTTTTTTTTTTACAGATGTTTATATGTTATAAGGTTAGATTCTTCCGACCTTCCGGCCGAATGTATTTCTTGTAGCTAGCTTTATATAAAAGATGCTTACTTTTTGACATTATAGATGTCTATTTCATATACTTTTACTACAATTACAAGCCAAGCTTATAACTTCTCAGAAAGTTCTATTATGTGCTGTATTATGTTAAAGCATGGCGAACCACATTTTTTATGATATTGTAAATACTAACTAAAATTTACTTAGATACCGATATGTGACCTTAATAACCAACTATAAATAAACTTTTTCACGTGAAAAAATAAATAATCATCAGTCAGGTTTTCAAAAGTTAATTTATTATTATTTCCACTGGATAAATAAAAAAAAAGCTTCTTTTATAAAAAAATATATTATTTTTATTTTTTTTAAAAAAAAAAATAGAATTTAAATTGAACTTAAAACAAATTTATATTAAATTCAACAAATTCTGAGTTTATAACCATTTTACCAATTTAAAAATTAAAACCGAAACACTGGCTCAAAAGAGTGCTTAATAAAATTATTTTTTTTAAATTGATCACCTTAAAGATCATATGATTTGATTTTAATAGACGATGGGACGAACAAAACGAAATGGATTTACAAAGGTTTAAAAAGAAATGAGTTTATTAAATAAATAATGAGAAAATTCAATAAAACCAAAATTACTGCCTCAGCCGGCGCTCTGTAATATGCCTAAGGAGAAGAAAACTATCTAATTCATCCTATCGAAAACTAAAAGCAAAATGGTGCATTTTTATAACAAAATTTCCTTTCCATGGCTTGTTACGGAATTTCCTTAAAAATATCACTTGACGATCGAATAGACATTTTAATTGATCACTCGAGTCATAAATGATATATATCAGTTGGGTCCATACTGTCGCAAAAGTCCGAAATGTTAGTCCCTACATTTCCATCATAAATGATAGTCAGAGTCAATGGCTTACTTTGGCGAATTCAAGGATCGAGGGTAACATTGGAGACCTAGTTTTAATTTAATTTAGGAATGTGCATAATTTTAAATTCGTTTTTCTAAAAAAAAAAATTTTCCAATTGCTTTAATTTCATAAATAAGTTATAATAAATGTAACGTATTATCATAAAATTATATTCTATTTATTTATTATCGTTAAAGAGCCGCAGTGAAGCAAAAAAAAAATTACTATAAAAATTTATAAATAAGGTCGTGGAACCGAAAGTTTTTGCCGATCAGGACAATTTAATAGTAAAACTCCGTAATGGCCATAAAAACGAACGTTCGGTATATACCATATCCAACTTTTTTTTTTTTAAAAAAAAAAAAAATGTTGGATATTGAAGAATCTATTAAGTGGCTAGAAAATTCAGAAAATTATTTGAATTATTACGAATATTCGGACTTTCGAAATTTAAAATTAATAGGAGATGGAGCATTTGGAAGCGTCATGAGTGCATATTGGAAAGATTCCGATTGTTTTTGCGCTTAAAAATCTTTTAAAGAAAATGTATCTATTAAAGAAGTTGTGAAAGAGGTAAGATTATTATTTAACATAATTATCAGTAATATAAATTTATTTTTTTTAATGTTTTATTTCAGATTATATTGCAAATTAGAGTCAGCTCGCATCAAAATATTATAAAATTCTATGGTATCGCAAAGGAAAAATATGGTAATTATTTGAAAAAAATATAATGAAATTTTCTACCTATCAATAAAATTTCTTTTTTTCTTATTTATTTTATTATACAGCAAGTGCAATAAAATATTCTTTGGTTTTGGAATATGCCGACAGTGGCACGCTATAAGATTATTTAAATAAGAATTTTTATGAACTTAATTGGAATGAAAAATTTCAACTAGCTTTGCAACTGGCGAGTGCTGTAAAATTTATACATGGTTTTGATATCGTTCATCGTGATTTGGTATTTATTGTTTAAGTAGTCGTATTATTTTATTTATTATATTTTCTAAATAATTTAAATTTTTTTTTTTTTAGCATGCAAAAAATATTCTTGTACATCAGAAATCTATTAAAATAGCAGACTTTGGTTTATCAAAAAAGATTTTTGACGATTTAAACAATACAAACGAAATACGTGGTTGTATACCTTATATAGATCCAAAGAGTTTAAATGGAAATTACAAATTAAATAAAAAGTAGTGTTGGAGTATTGATGTGGCAAATTTCAAGTGGTCATCGGCCATTTAGTTACAGCAATAATACAAGGAAAAAGGGAGACCATTATTGATGGAACTCCTATTGAATATGGCAAAATATATCAAGGTAAATAAAATCAATATTTTTATTTTGCTTATACAGTAAAAAAATAATTAATCCTAACCTATTTATCATATAAGATTGTTGGAAATATGAACCAGATAAGCGTCCAAACATGCATGAAGTTGTTTCGAGCATTAAAGCGATCACTTCTCTTCTGAAGGTTTTCGATAAAGAAGAAAATAATTTATTAGTTGAAGATGCATCCATTGTTAAATCAAGCGAATTATATACGGATTAGAGTTTAAGGATCACTTCAATTAAATCCGAAAACAATTTAAGTTTACATCGTCAAAAATCTTCTCATTCATCAGTGCTCGTTGTTAGACATGCTTCTTCAAATGCAAATTTTCATGCTAACAATTTATCAAAAGATTCTTTTGAGGCGATATTTATAAATAAAGAATCTATTAATAAGTTGATTAAATATATAATTAAGAAACAAGACGAAGGTATTACTTTTGAGCAAATCAAAAATCTTATTGAACATAAAATATTAGATTTCAATCAAACTATAAACAAACTTGTAGAATGGCTTAAAGAAAATAAACAAAACAACCAAGAATTTGCTTGGTTACTTGGATTATTTTATTACCATAATATTGGTATAAATGAAAATGGTACTAAAGCTTTTGAATTATTCTTAAAATCAGCGGAGAATAATTATTCAATTTCACAAGTTTATCTTGCTAAATGTTTTTATAATGGGTATGGAATTGAATGTTATAAAAAGTTGTCATTTAATTGGTACCACAAAGCTGTGGAAAATGGAAGCATTATTGGACAACTTTATTTAGGACATTGTTATGAATTTGGCATTGGAACTCAAGCAAATAAAATGAAGTCAGTTTATTGGTATCGTGAAGCAACTAATAACAGAAATCTCACCGCAAAACTTCAACTTGCAAATTGTTATAGGATAGGAAAAGGAATTAAAAAAGATGAATATAAAGCTTTCGAATATTATGAAATCTTGGCCAAACAAGAAATCGCTGATGCTCAATATCAACTTGGAAATTGTTTTTATAATGGCATTGGAACTAAATCGGATAAAGTGCAAGCTTCTTGTTGGTACGAAAAAGCAGCACATTATGGACATATTATTGCAACGGATGATCTTAAAAAAAAATTTGATAAAAAATTAAAACTTAAAAAAAATGAAGATGCTAAGCTTTATAAAAAAATATATATTAAAGGATTAAATAAAATTGGAACATTTAATCATAGTGGTCTTGGAAAGAAAAGAAAAGAAAAAGCACTAAATAATTTTCGAAAAGCTACAGAAGGAGGAAATAAAGTTGCACAATATCATTTAGGTCATTATTATCAATATAGCGAAAGAATAAATGAAATAAAAGCTTTTGAATTTTACAAAATGTCAGCTGATCAAGGATATAATTTTGCACAAGTTCAGCTTGGATATTGTTATGATAATTATGATAAAGGATTCGGAATTGAATTTAATAAGGAAAAAGCCTTTGATTTGTATCTAAAAGTGGCCGAAGAAGAAAACCTCATAGCCATTATAACTCAAAATAATCTTGGAAAATTATATGAAAATGGTGAAGGCGTAGAACAAGACTTAGATAAAGCTATTTACTGGTACAATAAATCTGCAGAGAGTGGTTATAAAGGCGCACAACATAATCTTGCAATTTTTTATAAAGAAAAAATAGTAAATAAAATATAAAAAAATCCATTTATTGGTATAATAGAGCAGCAGATGATGGAAGTGTTAATGCTCAATGTAATCTTGACTGTTTATATGAAAGAGGCGAGGATATAGAAAAAGATTTTAAAAAAGCTTTTTATTGGTATCAACAAGCAGCAGTAAGTGGATTTGTTGAATCGCAATATTACCTAGCATCATTATACGAAACAACAGAAATAAAAGCCAATTTTCTTTTTCAAGGTGTAGCAGAAATTAGGATTGCTATTCCAACATTTAATGGTCTTGCTAAAATAATTAGCATTTCTGAAAATAATACTATTAAAAAAGCCAATTATTGGTATGATAGAGCAGTAGGAAATAGAAGTATTATGATGTTTGAATTATTATATCAAGAAAATAGAAAGAAAGAAAGCCAATAATTGTTCAAAATCAACAGAAAAAATAGAACCTTTATATATGCTACCAATTATGCTACGATATATGCACGCGTCACCTTTGTTACAAAATATGTCATCATATATGATCATTTTGCCATTACTTCTTTCTAACCTTTTATTCGTATTTTTATATGATAAATCAAAAAATAATTCAGAAAAGGCCTTTATTTGGTATCAAAAAGCAGCAGAAAATGGATATGCAGCCGCGCAATACAAACTTGGTAATTTATATGAAAAAGGCGTGGGCATAAAAAAAGATTTAAAAATGGCATTTAACTGGTATCAAAAAGCAGATGAAAATGGACATGGGATTGGACAGTATAAATTGGGTGAATGTTATGATTTGGGAAATGGGGTTGAAAAAAATGAAATTAAAGCATTTGAAAATTATCAGAAGTCCGCCAATCAAGGGTATTTAAATGCAAAATTTCAACTTGGATATTGTTTTATTAATGGAATTGGAATAGATACTAGCCGAGAAAAAGGAATTAAATTATACAATGAGACAGCTAAAAGAAATGATGATTATTTTTACAAAGAATCAGCTAATAAAGGATATTTAGAGGCTAAATATAAAGTTGGATATTTTTATGAATATGGAATAGTAGTTGACATTGATAAAGAAAAAGCATTAGAATTATTTAAAGTAGCGGCTGAAGAAGGAAATAGCAATTCACAAAAAAGAATTACAAATTTATATGAATATGAAGCAAAGCAGAATAAAAACTTAGTTATCAGATTTAAAAAAATATTTAGAATGAAAAATTAAGAAAATAAATAATGTTTAGACCATTTTAATAATCTATATAAAATATTATTTTCTTTTTATTGTATTATTTATTAATATAGCATTTTGCTAAATTTAAATGTTAATAAAATAATATTTCGTTTATATTTGTTAATGCATAAGATATATTTAATTACTCTTTTTTTAAAATAAAAAATAAAAAATAAAAATGTAAATATTATTAAATTAGCGAGATCTGGCATAACTAATCAATTAGGATATAGCTTTATACTATATAATAATAATAATAAATAAAATATTAGATAGCTATAGACGAATTGAAATATACTTAAAAATAGTAAAGCCAATCTGAAATTAGAAGCTAGAGAAATAATTTAATTAATCCATTTAAATTATGTATAGAAATTGAAGCAATCCAATCTGAAAAAATTATTTAAAAGAAATAAAATATAAATATAAATAACTAACGATATAAAGAAAAAATAATTAAAAAAATAATTAAATGTCCCTGATCTAGCAGTCCGATGATCATAATTTGAATTTTCTGTATAGTATTATATTAAAATAATATCAATAATTTCTTGAAATTTTGAAGAAATTTACTTATTGGAAAAATAATAATTTAAAAAAAAAACTTTTTTTAAAGGATATGATGTCACGGCATAGCATTATGATAGATCGGATTTGCCGTCATCAACTTGAGCTCGTAGGAAACAAATTATTAAAGCAAAAAGGATATGAGACTAATTACATTGCAATGCGTACCAATATTACTTTCGTACTACATCAATTTCGACTTATGTGGTGGTATTCAAAGACTTATTTATATTTAAACACATCTTTATTTAACGTATTTCACTTATAATGTATTCGCTTTGCTCATACGTTGTAAAATTAAAATTGCTGTTTCTCAGTTGATAAACAATAATTATACGATGACATTGTATTGCTCAGTCATTGTTGTAAAAATGAAGATTTACAACGCTCACAGATTTAAAAAATAGTCACTTTAATATATACATTCCATCAGTTTGAGGAGTTTAAACTATCGTAAAGGTCCGAAAATTCCATTCCAACAGATATTGAATATGTATCAAATTTTTGTTCAAGAACCCAACAAAATTTGTTTTATATCTGTTTGAACGTTGTTAGCCGGAGGGCTGAAAATAAAACTTAGACGATATAATTCAGTCCGTCGAATTAATCACGATAACTTTATCACAATCACGCCTGTATGAAGA